GCCTACTTTGAAACTTATTTTCTTACCTTTGTCATCAGAAAAATTGGCAACCATACTTGCTGTCCATTCTTAAGTCATTTATACAAATTGTAAACTGCTGAGGTCCTGGCATTGATCCATGGCACACCACTTGTTATATCTTGCTAACCTGAAAAACAGCTATTTAAGTATACTTTCTGCTTTCTGTTAGCCAACCAATCTTCCATCCACATCCATATGCTACCTTCAATATCACAAACTTTTAATTTTCATATTATACAGCATTTTAATCAACCCTATCCATTCTGGAAATCTAAGTACAACCACCAGTCTCCTTTATCCACAGCGCCTGTCACTTTCTCAAAAGTCCAACAGATTACCATACATCCAGAAAACCAGGTTGACTCTGCCTAATTACCTTGAAACTTATCCAACTACCAACATTTTTCCCTCATTTCCCAATTTGTCTCTCCCTCCTTTTAAGTAAAGGAGTTACATTGTCTGATTTCCAACCTAAACCTTGCACAGATCAGTACATCAACTATCTTATTAACCATTCTTTCAAGACTCTACGAAGGCAATCATGACCAGGCATGTGGGGACAGAAAGGACTGCAGATGCCAGAAGCTAGATTCAAAAACTGTGGAGCTGGAAATGAACAGTAGGCTAGACAGCATCTGAGGAGCAGGAAAGTCAATGTTTCAGGTCAGAACCCTTCTTCAGGGCTGGAGATGAGGAGGGAAACCCAGAAATCACTGGAGGGAGGGGGATGGGGCAGAGGGGAGGCGAGGTGAGATGGAGATAGGGGGTTGTTGTGGTTGGTCAGTGGGAAGAGTGGAGTGGGTAGGTGAGTCAAAAGATAGACAGGTGGGGAGAGGAGAGATTTTAAAGCTGGACAAGTCAATATTCAGGTCATTGGGCTGTAAGCTCCCAAGGTGAAATATGAGGTGTTGTTCCTCCAGTTTGCATTTGGTCTCACTCTAACAACGGAGGCGGCCAAGGACAGACACATTAGCTAGGGAGTGGGAGGGGGAGTTAAAGTGGATGGCAACCAGAAGGTCGGGCTGGTTGGTGCATGCAGACCGGAGATGCTCCACAAACTGGTCTTGGTCTGTGTTTGGTCTCCCTGATAGAGACCACATCGGGAGCAACGGATACAGTATATGAGGTTAGGTGAAGTGCAGGTGAATCTCTGATTCGGAAGGATTGTTTGGGGCCTTGGTCAGAGGTGATAGGGGAGGTGTAGGGGCAGGTGTTGCGCTTCCTGTGGTTGCAAGGAAAGATAACGGAGTGGTGGGGGAGTTGGTGGGGAGAGAAGTGTGGAGCTGACAAGGAAGTCACAGGAGTGAATGGTCCCTGTGGAAAGCAGACGGGGGGGGGGGGGGGGGGGGGGGGGAGGAAATATATTTTTGGTAGTGGGGTCCGATTGGAGGTGGCAGAAATGTCGCAGGATGATGCATTGTATTCAGAGGCTTGTGGAGTGATATGTGAGGACCAAGGGGACTCTATCCTTATTGTTTGTTGGTGGGGGGGAAGAGGATTGGAGGGCAGAATGCAGGAAATGGGGGAGATGTGGACAAGGGCATCCTTAATAACAGAGGAGGGGAAACTATGGTCCCTGAAGTAGGAAGATATCTGGGAAGTCCTAGAGTAGAATGCCTCATCTTGGGAGCAGATGCATTGGGAGTATGGGACAGCATTTTTCCAGGAGGTGTAGTCAAGATAGTTGTGGAAGTCAGGTTTGAAATAGATCTCAGTGGTGAGTTAGTTGCCAGAGATGGAGACAGAGAGGTCCAGGAAGAGGAAGGAGGTGTCAAAAATGGTCCAGGCTAATTTGAGGGTGTAGTGGAAGATGTTGGCAAAGTTGATGAACTGTTTAAGCTCCTCGTTAAAGAGGTGAGGGATGGTGCCGGTATAGTTGTTGAAGAGGGACTGTTGCATGGTTCCCACAAAGAGGCAGGCATAGCTCAGGATCATGCGGGTGCCCGTAGCCACCCCTTTGGTTTGTAGGAGGTGGGAAGAATCAAAAGGAAAAGTTGTTGAGGGTGAGGACCAGTTCCGCTAAGCAAATGAGTGTGTCAGTGGAGGAGGACTGGGTGGGCCTATAGGAGAGGAAGAAACAGGAGGCTTTTAGGTCATCCTCATGGGGGTTGCAGGTGTATAGAGTCTGAAGGTCCATTGTGAAGATGAGGTGTTGGGGATGGGGAATTGAAAGTTTTGGAAAAGGCACTTGTAAACTCACAGCTCCAACAACTTACTCATGTGGGTGATTGTAAATTACAGAGTTTCCTCCCTCCATTCCTGATTTATAGCTGCTTCTTGGATGTTACAAGCACAATAGTAATATATAATGAAGACTGATGCAAAATATTTATTTAATTCATCTGCCTTGATTTTCCATTATCAATTCTTCAAGTTTTTCACAGAATTAACGCCCACTTTGTAAATCTTTAAAAATATTTCTCAATATTCTTATCATGTTTTTATATTTGATAACTTTCTCTCATACCCTAATCTTCCACTCCCTATTAGTTTAAGTCATTCTTTTCATTTTTTATATTCTGTCCAATTTTCTGGCCTGCACAATTACAATTTTTACTTTGAATTTTATACTGTCTTTCTAGTTAACCATGGATGGTAAACTTCTCTGGGAATCTTTCTTAATTTTTAGAATGCATCTATTCCGAGTATGCGGAAATACATCTTCAAATATCTGCCATTGCAACTATTGACTTATCCCTTAATTTGCTTATTCATTTAAGCCAGCTCTGCTGTCATGCTCTAATGACTCTCCTTAAGTTTAAAGATCTCAGACCTGCCCCACTCTCCCTCAAACTATATGCAAAATTCAATCATATTAGTTTGCTGCTACTTCAGGGTACCTTCAACAAGAGATCATTTCTCAATCTTGTTTATTTTCACACCACCAGGTTTGGTGATAGCCTGTTTTCTGGTTGGCTCTAGATCACAATGCTTAAGAAATTACGCCAAAAATATTCTATGAACTCCACAGTAAGGCTACCTTTGTTTGACTTTTCCAGTCTATGTAGACTGAAATCCCCGACGTTTTGAAGTACCTTTCTGAAAGCTCCCATTATCTCATTTTTTACACTCCATCCTACCATGTAGTTAGTTAGGGGGCTTTTACAACACTCCCACGTGACTTCCTACCTTTACAAGTTTCTCATCTCTCCCCAAACCGTTTCCATATTCCGGTTTCCCAAATCTAGACCAACCCTATCTATTACACTAAAACCATATTTAAGAGAGCCACTCTTCCACAGTTCCCTAGCTTCCTGTGCTTCCAATATATCCTGTATCCTTCAATATTCAAGTGCCAATCAATGTCACCCTACTGCCAGGTCTCTGATGGCTACCAGGATCATATTCATTTTTGTGTTCCCAGTTCAACTATATTGTTTAGAATGCCAAATCCATTCACACTCAATCTTTAGCTTTATGCTTTGTAGTCATTACCCTTATCTATCAATTGATTCTTCGATTTGTGTACACTACTGCTCCCTGTCATAGTCTGTTAATCTTCTCCCATATCCTCTCTTTTGTCTGTCTCTAATTTACTGCTTTTTCCCAAATTTGATCCCTTGCCCAAATACATCACATTCTCACTGTTGCAGTTGAAAATTGCGGTTAGGTAGATTGGCCATGCTAAATTGCCCGTAGTGTTCAGGGAGGTAGAGGGTGTATATTAGGTGGGTCATAGGGGGATGGATCTGGGTGGGATGCTCTGAGGTTTGGTGTGGACTTGTTGGGCCGAAGGGCCTGTTCCCACACTGTAGGGATTCTAATTCTAATTCTAATTCTAATTCACACAGTCACAAATGGCTGGGGTGCCTTGCAGGTTCAGGCTTTGTTTTGCATTCACACATTCTATCAAAACTAACTTGTAACTGCATGCCTGATAAGAATTTACAATCAATCTATAGCAAATTAAAAATCATACACCTGCATGCATTTTTATAATGACTACAACCACATTCAGAAATTAAACTATGTAAACTTGGCACTGCTGTCCTTAGATTTGGAACCACCCAGCTTCTCAGACTGTGCTGCAGAGAAAATCTGGCCCAGATTTCACTATGCTAATCTCTGAAATGGCGTAAGGTGGCCAGCAACTTGGAAGTGAACTACAGAATTCCCAAAATTGCAGTGGATTATTCATCAGCCGATCACAGCATTTGTTCTTTTTAACACATTGATGAGGGGGAAGGAATGGGACCAGCAAGAAAATCGGCTTCTTACTCAAGTTAAAATTAGATCTTTTTTCACCATAACATTTCAGAGTTGATGTTTTCAGTCAGAAAAAGCCTCCAAAATTTATTAACAAGTAATAAGTTCTACCAATAAGGATGCCAGTAGTGTAAACTTTTTCAACTTTCAAAATGGTTGCGGTAAGGGTTCTGAATACTTAAAAAAATTGGGATTTAATGGAATTTTTAAAACTATGATGCTGATACAAGTCAGACAAATAACATTTAAATTACATTTTTATACATGATTCAGTTCAAATTTCTCTTTTTAAATCTTTTGTTCTAATAATTCAAGATGATTGTATTATGACATATATTGCAGCTGCTTAGTCTTGACGGATTATTTGGAGTGGCTAATATTCACTGTACACTTGGCCTATCCTATGTGACAATGGAGAACATTGCCAATCTAGACCAGGGCTAACATGGGAGCTTCCAGGTGAAACTCTACCCCTATCCTTTCGAATAAATGGAGTGGTGAGAATTGAATCTACACATCCTCGCTAAACTACAATCCTCCCACCAACCTGATATGATTGGTTATCACTAGATTTTTTAAAAAAAATGTTTGAGATTAACATCCAGTAGTAACTCTGGCAAGCAAGTGACTGAGAAATGAAGTAAATACTAGTTTCCTGCCATTTCCCTGGAGATCTTTGACATTATGGAGAGAGTTTGGAGTAATCTGTGAAATTGATGGCAATTGATCTTAATGTGTGTTTGCTATCTGTAATGTACACAGATATACTTTACCTTTCTGAGCATTCACTGCTAGAGTATTACTACTATATTTGACAGCTTTGTTCAAGAATTTCAGTGAACGGAGTCCTTGTTTTCCATGCTCTTGTTCATCTTTCTTCGCAGCTTCCAATGCTATTTTTTCTTCTTCCTTTCTCTGCAATTCTTCTGTAAAATAAATGACAACAAAAGAATTTCTGTCAAATTAACACTCAGATTATGAACAAACATCAAGTTGGAAGATGTTTAGTGGTCTGTTTAGTCAAAGAACTGAACACATTTAAATCTTCACATTCATTTTTGTCTACTGATACACATTCGGGAAACAATAACAACTCCAGGTTTTCCAAAATCAGGGAGAGGGGTGGCTCATTTGGAATAGGACAGCGTGAAACTGTGGGGGATGTTGCAAGGGGAGGAGGGCAGTCAATTGATTAACGGCAAGGCGGGAGACTTCCTTCAGGGACCCCTTTTCCAAAGCTAGATATGTCAATAGGGCAGAGTACCCATGAAAAAGAGGGTCCCACACCACCTAGCAGGCTGGTGGCAAACCCAAGAGAGTTGGGATTGCCTCCCTGGATGAGGAGACCTCCTGTCCACAACTGGATGAACACTTAAGGCCCTCACCTGAAGCACCACCTACACTGTCCTACCCGAAACTTGACTGAAGGGACATACCACACTCTTCTGATCACATGCAGCCATTCCCTCACCTCCAGGCTCAGAGAAATTAAATTCTACCCACCATTTCCAGTTTATTACTACATGCTTAGATGGTTAATGCAGCTGCTGCAATATCCTACCTTGAATCTGAAGGATACGGGAGATGTCAAGCCCTTGGCTAATTCTGAGAATTATCAAACCATATTCAAAATCAAAGGCATCACTGTAAAATCAGAAACAAGCTTCAGAACAGCAAAATATTGCACTGAAATGTACTGTGCTATCATATTTTGTCTTGAAGTTAGATTTTATAAATGCACTTTCATGTAAACAGCTTTACGTGAGGTATTCAAATCAACATATTGTCAACAATTTTTTTTCAATTGTTAATGGAAAATCTTGCAGGGCTGAACAACATGTCTGAATTTCTGAAATGGACTCCAGACGCCAGATGTGCAAAGCTCCATCCTGAAAATACAAACTTAGAATATTTCAAATACAGTATTTGCATTTCTGTTGAATTCAACTCAACAACTGTCCTGTCACTGGCTGTACACGATTAGTATTACAGCAAACATTTTATTAACCAACACCTATGGGACCAGGCGTGTGCCAGTAATCAAATACTCCAGTTGATCAAGAGGTCCACATAATCAATGTAAAAACACACTAAGTAATAGAAACAATACACACTACACTTTATTTACAGCATGAATCACAATAATAATGCAACTTTGCTTTAAATAAAACTTACTGGCAGAGACCCTTCTCACTTGTGCCCTCAACTGCTCAACATCAGGGGATCATGATAATATGTAAAACTTCTGATATTTGAGACCTATCATTTTTTACTTAGAGTGTGTTGGTTTGTAAGGAGCTGCTTTAAACAAAGTTTACTGTATTTAGCAAATAGGAAAACGGACAGATCAGGAATCCTGCACTCTGCTGTTTAGAAGTTGGTGGCACCATTCACAAATCAGTATTTCAGAATTTCTGCAATCTTCTGAAAGGTGGTCATGATTTGGAAGCCTAAATCACAATTTGTAATTGCAGACTGAATCTACAATCCAAGATTCACAAGAGCCTCAAATGTGCTTTAAAAGGGGTTTTCTCCATTTACAGTTATGAAATGCTAAAGTAATCCATCACTATGTGAAAGTGATTAAAAGTACTGTTTCTGGGGAGGAAGAAAATTCTCTTTGCCAGGCACGTAACAATACCACATTTGCTCCCTTACATATTACTAGAGCAAACAGGCTGATCAAGAAATGTACGGTGCTGAGAAAATTAAGCAAGATTGTAAAAGGATCTATCCACAAACAACATTACAGCATAGGAACAGGCCCTCCAAGCCGGACCGACATGCTGCCAGCACACTAAAACCTTCCAGGGACCGTATCCCTCTATTCCCATCCTATTCATGTATTTGTCAAGACCGCCCTTTAAAAGTCACTATCGTATCTGCTTCTACTACCTCCTCCAGCAGCGATTTCCAGACACCCACCACCCTCTGTGTAAAAAATTTGCCTCGTACATCACCTTTAACCCAGTCTCTCACACCTTAAATCTATACCCCCTAGTAACGGACTCTTCCACCCTGGGAAAAAGCTTCTGACTATCCACTCTGTCCATGCTCTTCACAACCTTGTAGACCTCTATCAGGTCGCCCCTCAACCTCCGTGTTCCAGTGAGAACAACCCAAGTTTCTCCAACCTCTCCTCAGAGCTAATGCCCTCCACACCAGGCAATATCCTGGTAAACCTTCTCTGTATCTTCTCCAAAGCCACCACATCCTTCTGGTAATGTGGCGATCAGAATTGAACACAATATTCCATATGCAGCCTAACTAAGGTTCTATAAAGCTGCAACATTACCTGCCAATTTTTAAACTCAATGCCCCGGTTGATGAAAGCAAGCATGCTATATACTTTGTTGACTACCTTCTCCACCTGCATTGCCACTTTCAGTGACCTGTGTACACCCAGATCCCTCTGCCTATCAGTACTCATGAGTACTTACTGTATATTTTCCATCTGAATTAGACCTTCCGAAATGCATTACCTCACATTTTTCCAGATTAAACTCCATCTGCCATCTCTCTGCCCAAGTCACCAACTGATCTTTATCCTGCTGTTATCCTCCGACGGTCCCCATCGCTATCCGCAATTCCACCAACCTTTGTGTCATCTGCAAATTTACTAATCAAGCCAGTTACATTTGTCTCCAAATCATTTATATATATTACAAATCGCAAAGGTCCCATCACTAATCCCTGAGGAACGCCACTAGTCACAGCCCTCCATTCAGAAACACACCCTTCCACTGCTACCCTGTCTTCTATGACAGAGCCAGTTTTTGGTCCATCTTGCAAGCTCACCTCTGACCCCGTGCGACTTTACCTTCTTTATCAGTCTGCCATGCAGGACCTGGTCAAAGGCCTTACTGAAATCCAGACAGACAACATCCACTGCCCTACCCTCGTCAATCACCTTCATCACTTCCTCAAAAAAAACTCAATCAAGTTAGTGAGACACGACCTCCCCTTCACAAAACCACGTTGCCTCTCGCTAATATGCCCACTTATTTCCAAGTGGGAGTAAAGTGTTGAAGAATCCTCTCCAATAATTTCCCCACACTGACGTAAGGCTCACCAGCCTGCAATTAGGGATTATCCTTGTCACCTTTCTTAAACAAAGGACCAACACTGGCTATTCTCCAATCCTCTGGGACCTACCCTGTAGCCAGTAAGGATACAAAGATTTCTCTCAAGGCCCCAGCAATATCCTCCCTTTGACTCTGAGTATTCTAGGGTATGTCGCATCAGGCCCTGGGGACTTGTCTATTTTAATGTTTTTCAAGACCCCCAATAGCTCCTCTCTTTTGATCTCAACATGACCCCAAACTATCCACACACCCCTCCCCAGATTCACCATCCATGAAGTCCTTCTCCATGGTGTATACTGAAGCAAAGCACTCATTCAATATCTTGCTCACTTCCTCTGGCCCCACACACAAACTCCCTTCCCCGTCCCCAAGTGGCCAGTGCCTCCCCAGCTACCCTCCCGTTCCCTACACATGTCCAAAAAGCATCACAGACAGTAGTTTTAAAGATCCTTAATCCTGTTGGCCAATGACTTTTCATGACCCCCTTTTAGCTCTCCCGACTCCTTGCTCAAGTTTCTTTCTATTTTCTTCGTGTTCCCAGCCTCCTAGCCTTGACAAATGCTTCCTTTTCCTTCTTGACTAGGCTTACAATATCTCTCGTCATCCAAGGTTCCCTAAATTTGCCATACCTATCCTTCATTTCTACAGGAACGTGCTGGTCCTAAGTTCCTTTCAACTTACATTTGAAAGCCTCCCATATACCAGATGTTGATTTGCCCGAAAACATCTGCCCCCAATCTACATTCTTCAGTTCCTGCCTAATATTGTTGTAATTAGCCTTCCCCCAAATTAGCACCTTCACCTGACAACAGTTATCTTTCAGTCAGTACCTTAAAGCTTACCGAATTACGATCACTGTTCCTGAGCTGCTCCCCTACCAAGGCATCGACCGCCTGGCCAGGATCATTCCCCAGTACTAGGTCCAGTACAACCCCTTTCCTAGTTGGACCATCTACATACTGTTTCAAGAAGCCCTCCTTGATGCTCCTTACAAACTCTGTCCCATTCGCACCCCAAGCACTTAGTGAGTCCCGGTCAATATATGGGAAGTTAAAATCACCCACGACAACAACCTGTTATTTTACATCCTGCCAAAATCTGCCTACATATTGGTTCTTCTATCTCCCGCTGGCTATTGGGAAGCCTATAGTAAACCCCAAACATTATGATTGCATCCTTCCTGTTCCTGAGCTCTACCGATATTGCCTCTCTGTATGAGCCATCCGAGGCGTCCTCCCGCAGTACAGCTGTGATATTCTCCTTAACAAGTGCAAACCCCCTATCCCCTTTACATCCCCCTCTATCCCGCCTGAAACATCCGTGTCCTGGAACGTTAAGCTGCCAATCCTGTCCCTCCCTTAACCAAGTCTCTATAATAGCAACAACACTGCAGTTCCAAGTACTAATCAAAGCTCTAAGTTCATCTGCCTTACCTGTTACACTTCTCACATTGAAACCTTGTACTTCCCTTAAGAACAGAGCCAGCCGTGGTGCCACCAGTCTGGCTGCTGCTGTTATCCCCTGACAGGTCACCCCCACCCCCTTACAGTATCCAAAATGGTATACTTGTTAGAGAGGGGGACGACCACAGGGGATTCCTGCACTAGCTGCCTGCGCCTTCTAGCAGTCACCCATCTATCTGCCTGCGCCTTGGGTGTCACCACATCTATGATGCTTTCTGCCACCCTCATGATCTAAGTGCATCCAACTGCCGCTCCAAGTGACCAACCATTTAGACATATAAGGTTCAAATTCAAAGAAAACAATTAGAGTTGTACAACTTACCACAGAAGGATCTGCACTATTAAAAGTCAGTTAATGATAACAGCAGTCTTGAACTTCTTCAGCATAGGTTATTTCAAGGGAAGTGACAATGGTAGAATTAGTCAATCCACTGAGCTAAAACAGTGACGACTGCATTGTTTGCACAAGCAAATCATTTCACACATTCACCCAAAGAATTGAAAGAGTAAAAAGTGAGTTAACTGAAGTTCTTCTCCAGAAGACAAATTCCTTTAAAGTCTAAAGGTGTCAATGATGCCAACACGTAGCTCTATATGCTCCATAGAAAACTACCCTAACACAAAATGTGAAAGGAATGCTGTTAGACAGACAGTCACGTGCATAGTTCTAATCTAATAGTCAAACATAAGCTGAATTTTGAGTGGATCCCATTCTATTGCATATTCAAGAGAGAGCCCACCTCACCAACCAGACCTGAACTGCAGGATGATCAAAGTTACCAACCGCAACCATAAAATAAATCAACAGATCCCAAAGGTTTTGCTTTCGGATAGCGAATTATTTTTGGATTATATAAAAACGTGAGCAATTGTTGATGTTGCTCAATGAAAAGTCACTACTTTTAAGAATTATAAATCAACCATTGCAAGAACTACCTACTGCAAAATGCCAACGTAATTCTCAACATCTTGAGGATTAGCGGTACGCCAGTCTCTCTTGTATCCAATCACAAGTGTATTTGGTTTCATTCGACCCAATCCAGAAGCCTAGTGGAATACAAGTAAACTCTGTCCAATTAAACATTTATGTTAAGGTTGTGAAGGCTTCACAGATTTCACAAAGAAAGCATAATTTTCTTCAGCTCTTCCAAAGGAGATTGCCATTTTAAAATTATATTTGATATGAAAACCAGCATCTCTGTAATAAAACATTAGATAAATTGGCTCTTAATTTTATATATCAAGAAATGTTCAAACTAAGTAAATACAGTACACTGGCTTTTTCATGTTAAATCATTGCAAATATTAAGCATAGTTTAACACATTTAATAACTTATCAAGATGAACTTCACCCGTTGTATTAAGCCAGTGCTCATTTATTCACCCTTTTAGTGTGGCATTCAGAATGAACGAACAATGTGCAAGCTTTTTGAAAGCAATATGACTGTTACCTTTAGCATCCTGATGTATGACTGAGTTACGAAACCAAACGTACCCAAGTAGTGCTATTTAACTGGAATACATGATACATTGTAAACAAACTAAGTTACAAAACGTCTGGAGAAAATAGAGCAGAAAATAAATTGGGCAATGAGATGAAAGTTTATAGGGTTTATACAGATGTTAGAATTTTGTAGTTCTTTGATGCCTAGAGAAAACAGATCAATAATCATATAACAAAGAAACAGGAGCAGCAGTCGGTCATAACCTTTGAAATTGTTCTGCTATTCAAGGAGGTCATGGCTCTCCTTCTACTTTATCACCATTTTCCTGTAAAATGCCCAGGTGCCTTGATGTGGGTTACATAGAAATATATAAAGAATAGAATGCATACAAATCTATCAGTCTCAGGCTTGGGCATATTAAACAACTGTACCTCCACAGCTCTCAAGGACAGAGCATTCCGAAGATTCACCACCTTCAGAATGAAGGCATTTCTCATCTCAGTCCTAAATGGTCTATTCCCTTATTTGGGCAAGAAGGCACAAGGATGCAGGATCACGTTAATAGGGAGTAGAGCCTTGAATTCGGGTGTAGGCACACTAACATTAGCCAGTGCAGACTGGAATAACTCCAGAGCCCAGTATCCTGTCACCAAGTCACCATTTATTTACATGTAGAAAGTTTTTGACACTTGTCCAGGTTCATCAGAGCTAGCTCTCAGTGAGCAGAACCTCTAACACTCCTGTTTATATGTTTCCCCCACCTCAGTCAGTCCCCTAAACTGAGGAGATTCAAAGTCCTGTTTATGTACTGTTTTTGGTTACCCCCACACTACTGCTTTATAATGGTATTGCATACTTGCCCCCACAGCACCTGGGTGTGCGTGTGCGTGTGCGTGTATATAGGGACTCAGTGAAGACATGACTGTGCAAATAACTTTATTCAATATTTCCACCACCAGGAAAAACACCAGTGTGGCCATGGATCCCGTAACAAGTAAAGTCTAATAGAAGCAATACTTATGTGAAAAAAGAGAAGGGGGAGGTTGGAGATTAAATCAAAACGTTCCTGTTTGTATTTTTTGTGCAAATGCAGGAGTCAGTAAAAACACAAAGTGCAAGATAGTTGCATTCGACAGTTCCGCCACAAGGAAAAACGCCCATGCGACCAGACAACCAAGAACAAGCAAAGCTCAAACTTGCAATGCTTAGGTTGAAAAAAAAGTGAAGGTGGTGGTTGGGGGATTAAATCAAAACACTCTTGTTTGTATTTGTCAGCTAGGGCACCCTGATTGGACCAGATTAACAACCCCAATAAGGAACTCATTCTACGAGGTCCACTTGGCTGACCTGGTCACTAATACTACATCCCTCTCCCTCTAAATCTGGGGAAGTAGGCTCATTTTCTTGTAGCCTCTCACTTTCTCACTGGGTCCAGTTCCTCCGACACAGCCTCAGATACAGGTGTCCACTGGCCCATAGCTCGCCTCTCGCTCCCGTACTGTGTTAGAAGAAATTCATCCTCCTCTTCAGGCGGTAAAGGCATTGAGGCTGCGACACCCACTGTGTCCATATCAGACTCCAAGGTTTCTCCATGGAGAGAACCCACGGGTGCGGAGCACATTTCCGGCTGTTCAGTGGCGCCATATATGTTTTGCTTTTGCCCGATTTGAGAGTTTGCAGCTTTCATCTCGTCCATGTGCTTGTTCAGGACAACCTCAGTGACCCAAATTTTGTATATTACGGGTCCTGACCTCTCATCAATCATGCCTTTTACCCATACAGGGCCATTTCCATGCTTTCGGCATCAAACTTCATCCCCTGAACTAAACCGCCTCTCTCAATTAGCAGGGTCTTGTGTATGGCAATTGCGTTCCTGATGCCGTTTCAGCCTCCCCATACCAGGTCCAGGAGGGTCAGATTTAACGTGGTGTGGAGTCTCCTCCCCATTAGCAATTCTGCTATAGTCTATCCCTGTAGTTGCATGAGGTGGTGGTCTGACAATCAAATAGGAGCCAACACAGTTTGGTATCAAGCGAAACTGAAGGCTGATTCTTGAAGTCTGCCTTCAAAGTCTAAACCGCTCTTTCTGCTAGACAATTGTACGTACGGATAGCACAGAGCTGTCTTTACATGCCGAATGCCATTTGATTTTAGGAAATATTCAAATTCCCTGATGGTAAATGATGGCCCGTCGTCTCTGACCAAACCATCCAGAAGTCCAAATATTGCAAAAGATGCTCACAGTTTTCGATCATCACCCCGGTGTTTGACAGATGAATTCTATGCAGGTCCAACACTGAGTGGATATCCACAATGACTAAGAACTTTGAGCCCATGGAGGGGGATGGTGATGGTGGCTGCTAGCAGTAATTTTTGCCTTTGTTGGTACTGTGTGCATTGCCCTGCCAACACAGCTAGGTTGACATCCAAGCCTGCCCATCAGACATAACTTCTCATCAACCTCTTCACTTTGGAAATCTCTGATGATCCTGGTGGAGTTCAGCCGGCAATCTTTGTTCAGAATAAATCACTCTCGCTTCCCAGTATAAAATGCCATATTCTATGCTGATCTGGTTTCGCCAGGTCCATAAAGGTTTCAATTCTGGTTGTGATGGCCCTTTGATTTCCCCCTCACCACCAGATGTTTTAGCTTTGCCTGGGCTAGATCTTTTTGCATCCAGAGACTGATATTATTAGCTGTGACTGGAAGGGTGTCCAGAAAGTTTAAAACCAAAACGGACTCTTCCAGTGGCAGTAGCACCGGTGGTATGTGCAGGAGGCAGCTCAAGGTGCCTGCTGCTGAATGGTGTTCCAACTTGCAACTGTACACACTTACAATGACAGCCCACTGCTAAGTTCAACCTGAACCTATGGGCAGCTCGCCCCGGTCCTCAGTAGCCCTAGCAGGGGTTTGTGGTCTGTCACTGTTACAAAATTTGCATGCATAAAAAGGTGTTCCTGAAAAACACCTGGCTATTTAATTAGGACATCACTCAGGCAGCCATTTTCTAATCGAAAAACGTTCAGCCAATCAAGGTAAATCTTTCTCAACCAATTCCATCCCATCAGGCTTGGGCCTGAACCTTTCACTACAATCAGTGGTAACTGAACCAGCTGCTTCTCATGAGTAGTTACAGGTGCAGCCTTAATCTGTACAGGTTTCCCGATATAGGTTCTCAGTCTACCCGAGGTCTGTGCAAATTTAATGGCTGAAGTCCGGAGCAAATTTTGTTAAGGATTGGTTCTGCAATCACTTATCCAGCCATGACTGCATCATCCTCCATTGGAACTAGGTGACCATTTAACCCGGCGTTTATTTTGATTGTTTCTAATTTGAATGTTGCTCAGCAATTTAACTGCTCCAAGCCAGATGTAGGTAGGCTTTCTAGTGTGTGCACTCTCCTCGACACTTGCCTGTGAGTTCTCTTTCCCAATTCAGACCTAGCTGGTCTCCACTGCTGTCTCGAGTCTGCATTCGTCAGCAATTACAATGGCTTGCTGGCCTGGATCCTGAAGAAAATGTTAACCATTTGACCAAAGTTGCTTTGTTTTAGGGTTTTGCTGTGGTCTGACCTAGACTCCCTCTGCTTAGGACTGGTCCTGAGTGAGGCAGAATTAGAATTAGCTTTATTGTCACGTGCTCAAATGACTACAGTGAAACATTTAGAAGTTGCCATTTACATCACCATTTTAGGTGCAAAGGTACCGAGGTACAGATTCAATTTTTAGCCCGGGGGGGAGGGATTAGAAAAAATAATGAAATACAATGCCCAAAATTACAAATCATAGGAATGGATTTGAAAAACAAAAAAAAAACAAATTTCAGAACAATCCTTCCAACCCAGTCCACACCAGAGAGACAGCCATGCCAGGCCAAGAGGCGACAAAGCTGCCACACTGATCGCCATGCCGGGTATGCACTGAGGCCGAGAGTCCGAGTCCATGCCAAGGCTGGGAGTTCAGCACATCGCCAAGAAGGAAAATTTAAAAAAAAAAAGAAGAAAAAGAAATGGACAGAGCAGATGAGCTCTGACTGAGAAGTCCTACTCTATTGCTATCTTGGATCTGTATGCAATTGCTTTCACTCAAGTGACGTTCCCCAAGATCAGCTGGCCTGGTGAGGGTGTCCACTTCCATCAGCATACCCTGTAACTCATATGCTCCACTTGCCACATTTTCTAATAACAAAGCCAGTTGTGGTGCCTGTTTGAAGTCCATTTGGGCTTCAGCAAGAAGGCGCTTCTGCACGGGTACATCATTAATTCTACATACCAAACAGGGTCTCAGCATCTCATTAAGAGCTAAACCAACTCGCATGCCTCTGCCAGTCGTTTTAATCTCGTTCAAAATACCTATACAGATTCCCCTGGTATTCAAACTGCTGAATAAAACCAATAGCATTTCAAAATTAGAGGCAGCTTGGGCTAGTATAACATTCCTTAATTCTGTCACCTCTTGAAAGGTTTTAGCATCTGGTGCCTCTGGGAAGATTAGGCTCCTAGTGACTGAAAAGGTGCAGGTCCACAAGTTGTCAGAAGTACTTGTTGCTTTTCATCTGCCCCAGTGTCATTTGCCCTGAAAAAATCATGCAGTCTTTCCACATACTGGGCCCAGTTTTCGAAGACGGGTTCGAACAAGTCAAGCTCCCCAAATAATGGCATGATGCCAGAAACGCTTATCCTAACTCAAAGACAACTGTTCCAAGTGAATTTCTTCAGGCACACATGCTTTTCTTTTGTTACCACAGAAGCCGGTATTCCGTCACCAAGTAACCCTTCATTTATATATGCATACTATTTGACACTGGTCCGGCTTCATCAGAGGCTTCTCTCAGAGTGAGCAGACCCTCTGACACTCCTGTTTATCTGTCAGCCAGGGGAGGAAGGGACAATTATTAAAACTGTGTGTCAGCTGACAGGGTCAATGTTTACAAACAAACAAACACAGTTTTAAGACTGAACTTGGGCTCAGTATCTGAATGCCTCTAGCATCAACAATAAATCAGATGAATTGTCAGCTCAAACAGAAATTCATACAGATGATCTAATTGCTATTATGGGATGTGGCTACAAGTTACCAATGCATGGATCTGTATATTCAAAGGTCAGACATATTCAGGAATGTCAGGCGGTTGAAAAATGACGAATGGCTCTATTAATACAAAATGCATTAATGCTGTAGTAAGAGATGATGTTAACTAATGTTCAAGGCAGAGTCAATTTGGTTGGAACTAAGAAATAGCAAGGTGCAGAAAACAGTGGTAATGTAAAACACACAGTATAAAACCAAGGAATTAGAGATGGGTGTGTTACAGTACAATACAGTAATCATGAGGGATTTTCCAATCTCTACACAGTACTACTTGGATTTACTCAGTCTAAATGGTGGAGGACTAACCATTTCCATGTATTGCAATATGCTGCAGGAACCAGAGGGGTTCATTAATAATCTTGTTATAATGAAGTTTTTAAGGAGGGCCATAAAAGAAAAAAAAACACTAAATTTGAAAATTATGTCATTCAATTAGAAACTAGGTCTTACATCTTAACGGAGATCATGTAGATGAGAGACAAACTGGCATGGTGGTTTGGAAAATTTCATTTAAAGATATGATAGGCAATGGCTAATATTTAAAGAACTAATACATAGTTTACAGCAAAAATACACATTCCTTTGATGCACAAAACCCAGCAGGAAACCATTCCAACTGTGGCTCACAAAAGAAAGCAAGAATTGTATTAGATTCAAAGAAGAGACAAAGTTGTGGAATAAAATGACAATTCTGTAGATTTGCAGCATTTTATTGAAATCTACAAGAAAAGACCAAGAACAAGATTAAGAAAGCAAAAAAAAACAGAATGAGAATAGACTGGCTAGAAGCAAACTAAGAGTTTCTGAAAGTAGGAAAAAAGGTTAATAAAAGCAAATTTAGGTCCATTACAAGAGGCGTCAAAGGAAAAGGTACAGAAACGAAGCAAATACTGTATCTGTCTGCACAGAGGAAAACAAAAATTTTTAAAAACAGTGGGGAATCAAGGTACTAATGTAAATGAGGAATTGCAAGGTATTAACATTAGCAAAAGATATGAGAAATTAAATGTAGTTAAAGTAGATAAATCCTCTCCCTGGATATGATAATCTACTTTCCACAGTTTTGAAAGAGAAGGCTTTGGAAATGATAGATATGTTGGTGGTCAATTTGCAAAACTCTATTGCACTAGAATGGTCTCTGCAAGGACAGCGGTAAATGCTAGTGGGGTAACCCAAACTTCCAGGTACAATGGCTCCACAACCAAGCAGATTCCCTCCACCCCGATGAAGTGGGAGGGAGAGGAAGTAGAAAACCAATTAGAGTAAGAAGAGTTGTATAGCACAGAAACAGACCCTTCAGTCCAACTCATCCATGCTCAGCAGATATCCTAAAAACAGATCTAGTCCCATTTGCCAGCATTTGGCCCATATCTCTCTAAACCCTTCTTATTCATGTACCCATTCAGATGCCTTTTAAATATTGTAATTGTACCAGCCTCCACCACTTCCTCTGGCAGCTTGTTCCATACACGCACCACCCTTTGCACAAAAAAAGTTGCCCCTTGCATTCCTTTTAAATCTTTCCCCTCTCACCTTAAACCTATGCTCTCTAGTTTTGGGCTCCCTTACCCTGGGAGAGTGATTTTGGCTATTCACCCTATTCATGTCCTTCAAGATTTTATAAACTTCTATAAAGGTCACCCTTCAGTTTCCATATTCCAGAGAAAATAGCCCCAGCCCATAACCAATGTCCTGTACAGCCTAAACATGCTACCCCAACTGCTAAACTCAATGCACTGGCCAATGACGGCAAACACCTTCTTCACTATCCTGTCTACCTGCAACTCCACTTTCAAGGAACTATGAACCTGTACCCCAAGGTCTGTTTGGCAACACTCCCCCATTAGGTGTATAAGTCCTGCTCTGATTTGCATTACCAGAGTGCAACACCTCTCATTTATCTAAATTATAGTCCATCTGCCACTCCTTGGCCCATCTGATCAAGGTCCCATTGTACTCTGAGATAACCTCTTTCACTGTTCACTACACCACCAATTTTGGTGTTACCTGCAAACTTACTCACTATAACTTCTATATTCACATCCAAATCATTTATATAAATGACAAAAAACAGTGGTCCCAGCACCCATCCTTGTGGCACACCACTGGTCACAGGCCTCCAGTCTGAAAAACAACCTTCCACTGCCCACTTTGTCTCCTACCTTCAAGCCAATTTTGTATCCAACTGGCAAACTTTCCCTGAATCCCTGCTCTGCCTTCATTGTTCACTGCACTGTCTTCAATCTTCTTGGTCATTTCAAAAAATTCAGGCAAGTTAGTGAGACACAATTTCCCCACACAAAAAGTTATGTTGCCTATCCCTAATCAGTCCATGCCTTTCCAAATACATGTAAAATCCTGTCCCTCAGAATATCCTCCAACAACTTACCCACCACTGATGTCAGGCTTATTGGTCAATGGTTCCCTGGATTTTTCTCATCGCCTTTCTTAAATAATGGCACCATATTAGCCACCCTTCAGTCTTTCGGCATCTCACCTGTAGCTATTGGTAATACAAATATTTCTGCAAGGGGCCCAGCAATCACTTTCCCAGCTTCCTGCAAGGTTCTGGGTACACCTGATTAGGACCCTGGGATTTATGCACCTTTACACATGTGATAAGATGTCCAGCACCACCACCTCTGTAATATGGATACTTTAAGATATCACTACTTGTTTCTCTAAGTTCACCAGGCTTCCACATCCTTCTCCACAGTAAATATGAACTTGAAATACTCGTTTAGTATTGCACTGATCTCCTGCGGCCCATACAGAGAGTTGTTGATCTTTAAAGGAGCCCTATTCTCCTCTTAGTTACTCTTTTGTCCTTATATCTGTAGGATCTCTTTGGATTCTCCTTAATCCTATTTGCCAGAGTCATCTCATGTTCTCTTACTGATCTCCTGATTTCTTTCTGGAGTATACTCCAGAGTCGACTGCCCATACACTCCTCTAGGGATTCACTGGATATATGTCTCCTTTTTCTTGAGCACAGCCTCAATTTCTTTAGTCATCCAGCATTCCCTATATCTACCAACTTTGCCCTTCACACTAACAGGAACACAGTGTCTCTGGACATATGTTGATGGCACTTTGGTGGCATGGGTGACAATGGCTAGCAAGCAACTCTCACTTTATGTATAAATGTTTGTCCTTTAATCTTACATGTGGTTGTTAGTCCCTCTCAAAGTGCTAAATGCCTTGTTATACCATCCAGCGTCACTTCATCGCCAACTATTAAGACGTGCCTTTGGCTGTCTGCACTGAGACCCTTTTGTACCCATCTAGAAACAAGGGAATAATGCATATACAAAAGCAGTGGGCCATTCTGACCCCTTTCACGCCCCTTTGTTTAACATCCCTCTGCGTGCAATGGTGTAGCTATCAATGAGTCGCCCAGCAGTAGCTGTGTCATGGGGGTTAAGCACACACAGAGGGTCAATGCTGTAGCATGGCCAGAGAGTAGACAACTGCATACCTGTGTCCTGCACAGTGCTCTGGTCTACGACCAATGTTCCATCCCTCTAAAAGCCCTATGACTGGTGTTGCTAAAGTCCCCCATCCCCTGGGGAGGGGGGTGGGGTCATCACTCTGTGGTCCCAGCCATTTTCTTCCCCAATGTACACTTTCCATTTGCATCACAATGGAAGGCAACAGTGAATGCTCCTTTGCCTCTGGGTTCCAACTTCATCCTCAGCTTGAGCATGTCAGTGAGACAAACATTCACAGGTCTCACATTTCCCCAAGTCCCCACACAACTGGTCTGCAGCATTTGATTAAAATGCTGAAACAGAAAGCAATTACTCAGAGTTGGCAATGTGGAACTTACTACCAAACAGTGGTTCAGGCAAATACCAGAGGCATTTAAAAAGAAATCAGATAAGGAATTAAAGGATACATTGACAGGAAGGCAAAACAGACCGGGACCAGGGCACAGCATGCATCCATTGAGCAGAATGACTTACTTTCTGTAATGTAAAATTCCATGTATTTCCTAATTCTAAATTCAACTGCAGATATATAAAAAGAATCCGATTCTATTAACACTAATATTTCACCATGCCCGATTACTAATTAAGCTAGTTCCCTAATAAAGCAGTTGAAGACATTTCTTTGTTATGGTTTGAAAGACTGTCAGCAAACAGTTTAAATTCGATAATTGTTGTGATGTAAATCTACCTAAACAGTATACTCTTATCAAATCAAATATAATTAGACTGACAATACATTCATTAGAGTAACAACCTGAAGTAGGCACTTTACTCCATCGCGCAAGTTGTCTCCAGCCACTGCTGCATAGAAGGCTTTTTTTTTGTTTCTTGATAGCCACTGCTGATAGTTATCCATGCTCAGGTTCATGTCACTTACTGTTTGCTTTCGGGGACCCTAACAAAAAGATGCAATGGAGTAATCATATATTCAGGCTTAACAGCACATTACTTTTCTCAACATTATTAAACTTTTGACTTTACCTCCACGTGGAATATTCTAGAACTTTCCCCACAAGTGCTGACAGCGTGTAAATTTAACTTAAGTTTGCCTTTCTTTTCTTTTTTTCCCTGCCCCCTCCCAAATAGTTAAATATAGGTAATTTCAATCTATTACAGCATTACTGTAAAGTGACAAATTAGACCTTCAGGGGGACTGCAGAAGCCTAGGGGAGTACAGAGTGTGTAAGAGGGATTTTAAAAAAGGAACAGTGAGACAGCTAAAAGGGAATATGAAAGAATACTGGCAGGTTAAAATAAAGGAAAATCCCTTTTAAGAGGTACATTAAGGGTAAAATAATAATGAGACAAACAGTAGGGTCCATTAAAGACCACAGGGGTAATTTGAGAGTGGAGCCGAGATGAGGTAGGGTTCAAAATAAATACTTTGGTCAGTGCTCACTAGCGAAAGGGATGATTTGATAGAAATCAGTCAGAAGGTCTGTGAAGCAGTGAAATAAATTAGCATAGACAGAGAGGAGGATGTGAATGGCTGGCAGGCTTGAAAGTAGATAAACCTCAAGGGCCAGATGAAATTTATCCCAGGCTGTTAATTGAGGCAAGAGAAGGAAACAGCAGTGGCATTTGCATCGACGATCAGAGGGGTCTTGGTGTGCATATACACCAGTCCCCTAAAAGGCATCAGGAAAAGTGGATAAAGTGGTTAAGGCAGCATGTGGTATACTTTCCCTTATTAGTTGAGGCATAGAGTTTAAAAGCAGGGAGGTTATGATGTAGTTGTACAAGATGTTGTTGTGGGTAGTTCTGGAATCCATATTGTAAAAGGGATGCGATAGCACTGAAGTGAGTGTAGAGGAGACTGACCAGGACGTTGTCTGAGCTGGAGAGTTTCAGATATGAAAGAAAGATTGGACAGACTGGGTTTGTTTTCCTTAGAGCAGGGGATATAAAGAGGGACTTGATTGCCATGTATAAAATCATCAGGGGCATAGGTAGGTTAGACAGGAAGAAACTTTTCCCCTTGATAGAAGGATCAGGGCCAGGGGTATAGATTTTAGGTAAGGGACAGACGGTTTACAGGACACGTGAGGAAAAGCTTTTACTTCCAGAGGGTGGCAGTAGGAATCTGGAATCCGCTGCCTACGAGGGCGGAACAGGCAGGAGCAATAACTTCATACAGTCAGGAAAGCCAGATCACATCCAGAGTGAAACACAGCTCTAATATATAGTTCAGGGAATTTGAAGGCAACATGGGAATTCAGTGCAGAGGGGAAGGTGATTTTTGCTTGCATATTTTGGCTCCTAGTTTGTAAGGCTTTTTTTGGAAACAGGGTAAATTGAAGCCCACAGAAGGGGCCCAATACAAAACAGTGACACTGCAGGCAAACTAAGTTCATTGGTTGGTGCTAGTTACCAATTTGACCATTATAGGTTACTTTCAGATTCATGGCAAATAAGGAAAATATTTACAGGTTACAAACTAAAAGATCAGTCTGAAGATTTTAAAAAATTAAAATAAGGGCTAAAAATTGAGAGAGAGATACTGGGCCAGGCAATGTGTTGCAACTACATGATGTGGGAGCTGGAGGACATGGTGGTTCACAGTGACCACATCTGTACCAAGTGTTGGTTGCTTGGAGGAACTCCCACTCAGAAGTTGATGAGCTGGAGTCTGAGCTTTGAACACTGACAGAGGCGGGGAGGAGTTATCTGGATGCTGCATTACAGGAGGCAGTGACACCCCCTAAATTAACTACTTCGAATTCAGTTAGTGGTCAGGGACAGGAGGGTGTGCCTACCAGCAAGGTAGATAGTGGGATCCAGGAAGTTTTGCTGAAGGAGCCTCAGCCCTTGGGCTTATCTAACAGGTTTGAGATTCTTGTTCAGTGTGGATTGAGTGGGGGCTGTAGGGTAGATGAGCAAACTGACTATAGCACTGTGGTACAGGTATAGCACTGTGGTACAGGGAACCATTCAAGTGGCGAGAGAAAAGAGAAATGTAGTTATAATCAGGGATAGTAGAGTCAGGAGAGACTGTTCTCTGTGGCCAGGATCAGGAGTCCTGAAGACGGTGTTGCCTGCCTGATGCTCAGGTTCAGGATCTCTCATCTGGGCTGCATAGGAACTCCAATTGGGAACAGAAAGATCCAGTTATCATGGTGCACAAAGACACCAACAATACATATACAGTGGGTTCTACTAAGGGAATGAGCAGCTCAGGGCTAAATTAAGCAGCAGAAGCAAAAAGTTAATAATCTCTGAATTACTACCTGAGCCACAACCAAAGTGGCACAAGGTCAGCAAGATTTTAAAAAAAAAGACAATCGTGTGGCTCAAAGATTAGTGCGAGAGAAACATGTTGAATTCAGGGGATATTGACACCAGTACTGGGCAAGGAGGGAGCTGTTCACCTGAATCATGCTGGGACCAGTATCCTTGTGAAATGACGACTAAGGCTGTGGATAGGGCTTTTAAGTAGTGGGGTTCAGTTGCATGGAAAATGTTAAGGGCTCAGCAGAGGTTAAAGTTTCCAGAACAGTAATAGGACAGAGTATGGAAAGGGTCCGGAATCTAACTTTAAGCATAACAGATAAAGGGACAAGAGAAAGGAGGGGATTGCAGGCATCACAACAGTGAGGGTGTTGTACTTAAATGCATGCAGTATACGAAACAAGGTAAGGAGCTTATACTGTAGATTGAAATTGGCAGATAAGATGTGGTGGAAATCACAAACGTGGCTGCAAGGATCAGGGCTGGGAACTCAATATCAGAAGGATGCAATGTTCTATCGAAAGGACAGGCAGATGTCCGGAGGAGGTTGGGCTGACGAAGTAGTAAGAAGTGAAACGAAAATTGTATAAAATTGGAAGGCATAGAACATGTGTGGGTAGAGATGAGAAACTGCAAAGGAACAAAAACCCTGATGGGAATTATGTACAGGTCTCCTAGCAAGAGCCAAGGATGTGGGGTAAGAAAATAAATCAGGTACTACTACAATAATCGTGGGGGATTTCAACATGCTGGTGGACTGGGAAAATCAGGTTGGTAGCAGATTTCAAGATAAGGAATTTGTCTACGAGATGGTTTCTTTGGAGCAACTACTAACTCAGAAGGGAACAGGCAATTCTGGATTTGGCAATGTGTAAAAACCCCTAGGAGTCAGTGATCATAACATGAATGCACCCTACATTTTTGGAGGGAGAAGCTTGAATCAGATGAACCGGTCTTACGATAAAGACAACTACAAAAGATGAGAGAGAAGTTGGCCAGAGTTGATTGGAAGGGGAGCCTAGAAGAGAGACACAGTGGCTAAGCAACAGCAGAAATTTATGGGGGTAATTTGGGAGGCACAGCAGAAATTCACACCAAGGAAGAAAGGGGAGGATAAGGCAACCATGGCTGACAAGGGAAGTCAGGAGCAACTTAAAAGCAAAAGTAAAAGCATACAATGTGGTGAAGATTAATGGGAAGCCTTTAAAAACCAGCAGAGAATAATTTTAAAAAACAATAAAGGGCAGAAAAGGTGAAGTACACGTGTAGGCTAGGTCATAATATAAAAAGATTGCAAGAGCTTTTTTCTAAAAAGATATCCAATAAAAGGTAAGAGAGGCAAGAATGAACACTGTTCAATGAGGTTGGAGAAATAGTCTTGGAGAACAAAGAAATGGCAGAGGAATTGAATAGGTACTTTACATCAGTTTTCACACCAGCATAACTCCAGAACTTCAATAGTCAGGGAGTAGAGATGAATGTAGTGGTGATGACGAGGGAGAAGATGCTAGGGAAGCTGAAGTCTTAAGGTGGATAAATCACCCAAGCCAGCTGAACTACACAGTTCTGAAGGAGCTAGCTGAAGAAATTGTGGAGGCATTGGTGATGATCTTTCAAAAATTAGCCATTTTCCAGTCAGGAGGCTCCCAGAGGACTGGAAAATGGCTAATGTAACACGCCTACTAAAGAAGGGAGGGAGGCAGAAAGCAGGAAACTACAGGCCCGTTAGCCTGACCTTGGTCATTAGTAAGCTTTTAGAGTCCATTGCTAATGATGTAATAGCTAATTACTTGGAAGTGCATCGTAAAATAGGACCAAGTCAGCACAGCTTCATTAAAGGGAGGTCATCCCTGATAAATCGATTAGAATTCAAAGTGGTAACGAACAAATGAGAGAAAGGAGAGTCAATGGATGTGATCTATTTGGATTTGCAGAAGGCCTTTGACAAGGTGCCACATAGACTGCTAAATAAGAGTCCATGGTATTAGGGGAAAAGTATTGGCATGGATAGAGGATTGACTGACTGGCAGAAGGCAGTGTAGCGATAAAAGGGGTCTTCTGCAGGACGGCAGCTGGTGACTACTGGAGTTCTGCAGGGGTCCTTGCTGAGACCATAACCATTCACATTATACATAACGATCTGGATGAAAGAACTGAAGGCACTGTGTCATCTGCAAACATAGCAACAAAGATAGGTGGACGGACAGGTAGTGTTGAGGATGCAGGGAGGCTGCACAAGGACTTGGAATATGATAGGAGACTGGGCAAAAAAGAAAGTGGCAGATAGAGTACAATGTGGGAAAGTGTAAGGTTATGCACTTTGGTAGGAAGAGTAGAGGCATAGACTATTTTCTAAACAGGGAAAGGCTTCAGAATTCTGAAGCATAAAGGACTTAAGAGAATCCTGAACTAGGACTCCCAAGGTTAATGTGCAGTTGGCAGCCAGGAAGGTAAATGCAATGTTAGCATTAATTCCAGAGGGCTAGAATACAAAGAGCAGAGATGTACTGCTGATGCTATATAAAGCTTTGGTCAGAGTACCTTTGGAATATGAACAGAGAGTTTTGGGCCCCATATCTAAGGCAGGATGTGCAGGCTTTGAGGGAGTCTCGAGGACGTTTACAAGAATGACCACCAGGGCTGAAGAGCTCATCATATGAGCAGTTGAGAACTCTGGGTCTGGACTTGAAATTTAGAAGAATGAAGGGAGATTTGTTGAAACTTACAAGATACTGAGAGGCCTGGATAGACTGGATGTAGAGAATAGTGCCTCCAGTAGATGGAGAGACTAGGACCCAGGGCACAACCTCAGGGTGAAGGGACAACCCTTTAGAACTGAGATGAGAAGGAATTTCTTCAGCCAGAGGGTATTTAATTTGTGGCACTCATTGCTACAGAGGGCTAGTCATTGAGTGCATTTAAGACACTGGTAGATAGGTACTTGATTGGTAAGGGGATCAAGGGTTACAGGGAGAAGACAGGAGCATGGGATTGAGAAACATATCATGCTTCACATCTTATGGGCTTATTGTCAATGGTATTATAACACTTAAGTATTATTTAGGTATCTTCTTGATAATGCATGTGCACAAGGCTTAGGACCAAGTGCTGGAAAATGGAATCTTCACAGTTTAGTGGTTGTTTCTGACTGGCACGGATATAATGGGCTGAATGGCCTTTTTCCGTGCTGTAGATCTCCATAACTGCGGTCTGACAGCACAGCAAATGTTTAACTTTGTCAATCAGAAATGTGGATTATTGTCAAGCCCAACCGTCACAGACCAGGCATTAAACCTGTAATGCACTGGGTGCTGAAATCCCAGTGTCTCATTGTTGTCATCTCCAAGGACTACTAAACAGAGTTCAATTAAAGAACCATCCTGCTCCAGCAATAAATGCTTCAAGATTGAAACGTGACCATCTGATTGGGAGTGTAACACTATAATGCTGTGTTATTGAAACTAACCTGCCCAGAAGGTAGCTTTTTAGTCACTTGAAAAAAATCCTTAACTCAAACATCATCAATTCATATTTGCATTACTAAATTAGAAAAGTGATCAAAACTGTTGCAAAGGAATATGTCATATAGTCATTACCATAAATACTTGGCTACAGATGCATAGACTAAAATTCTTGGTGAAAGAAAGTGTCAAATCCAACAAGGCTGGCCTGGACTTTGGCGATCCTGTCAAAACAATACACTGTGGCCTACAAAGAGGGGGAAAAAAGTGTAAACTATTTTTCAGAACAAAATGAAATCACACAGAGCAAGTTCACAAAATGCGTCCATTTGGAAAAGTACTTTAACTGCACGATACAATATGCGATTCTCTCAGTTATAAAAAGTATTTGTAGCAGCATTTTGTGAACGATTAAAAGGCCAGATTGAGAGATTAGGATGAAGGCACATAGACTTCAAATAAAGTTATCAATAAAGATTTAGCACGCTCTATGGCATCAATTTTTCTCCTCCTGCAATATCAATTTTATTCTAGTACCATTTATAGGGATCTCCTGTATTCAGGAAAAAAAGCTAAACAAGTTCAGTCGCCAATCAAGTTGAAGAATTTTCAAACAGTAAACAAGGAAGCAATGATTAGCAAGAACCGTTTTGTTTTTTTGAAATAAAAGATGGTGAGCAAAGTAAGATTGGAACATATAAATGTGATTTAGATAGAAGCTGAAATAGTGAACACAATCAATAATTAAATGTTTTCATAATTGAAATAACCTTTGGAATTCTGTAGTAAAATGGAAAGAACAAAACTCCAGGCTTCTAATTCTTTTCAGGGCCAGAGGGGTCCTTCATAAGTAATTAGGACTTGGTATTCAATTTTAAAACAGTTACACCTCATTTAAAACTATACTCAACTCTTTCAACAATTCTTACTGCAGGAATATCATGCAAAAAGTTGATGGTCACATAATATCATCGACTCCACTATGTCAGATCACAAAAGGTAACCAGAAACCTTCTGTTTGTTTAGCAAGACATTTTTCTGAGCCAGTAACATAACATTCCAGAAACTTTCTTTTAAGAAAATCAAAGAGGGCATATGTGCTTTTTTTTTTTTTTAAGATTGGCCAGCAATTGTTTGGCTCTCTTAGGACATGACAAGATGACATTCTTATCACAGCATTGATTCTGCTGCAGAATGTTCTCATGCTTCAAATGCCAAGAAATTCATTAGAGGCAATACAAGAGCTTTAATATTGAAATCATCAAACATGACCCATTTATCAATAAGTAAGTGGACTTTGGAGACCCCTCTGGTTTTCTCCCAAATCAGGTTTGCATTTTCATCATGCTGATAATCACATTGTACTTCTCTACAGTGGGCAGGCCAATACAACTCTTCATATATATTCAGTCAATCAAGTTTCAGCAGGTCAATGCTAAAGTACTTATGAAACTTCTCTGCATTAGCCCCAAAATCCATTTTGCTCAGCACGACTGTTCCATTTAACAGCGCATAGAAACAAGAGGTTGTTTCTCTTGTTCCTCTAGCATCAAACAGATCAGGACCCACCAGAGTCATCAACTACCTCACTAAGTTCGGAAGGGAGATCCATTCTAAAATGGTTAGCTTCTCTGCAAAACATTTCTATTAATTAGTTACCTCAGTCAGTTTTCACACGCACTGCATTCAAAATTCTTTTCCTTGGCTAGACATTCATGCAAGTATTTTTTCCTCACATAACTTATTTGGCTTTTCTAGTATTAGCAACTAGTTTTAAATTTTGATAGGTTCTTAGGGACATACTAAAACTATTAAAGTAATGCCTAGAAATTCTGATGGCCAGAAAAGCAATTTCTGCAGCAGAGATGGGAATTAGAGTATAGAATTAGATGTAGAATTCCTGACACAGTGGACTCCAGGGAATTGCATGGGAAATTGAAAGTTTCTGCAAATGGAACCCTCCAAGAAAACCTCAAAGTCAAAGAAATCTGAGAGTTTAAGCTCACTTAAACTAAAAAGTTACCCAGGAAACGCTAAGAGATGAAAAATCTAACGACTCCTTGATGACAATTAAAGCTTAACACCAACCCTCCAGATGTGACAAGACCTGATATCAGACCTGCACTCACCCTGTCCAGACACCACTCACCCAAACTATCCAAAGCACTCGTTCGTTAACCTTACACCCCAGTCCCTCACTCTTGGCTTCTTTACCTACCCACCAACCACCATATATCACGTTATAAATGTGACTTTTCTCAGTCACTGTCGATTAGAAGGGGTATGTTTTGTCCTCTAATGCGGCATCTATTCCAACTGATGGGCGCATGTGGGACAATGCAAATTGCCGATAGGTAAATGAGTAACCTTAAGGAGGATTACAAGTTGGTTGAATGTGTTTTGATGGTAATTAGAATTTCTGGATCAATGTTCTCAATATTTGATTATTTTCTTGATTAGGATGTCCTTAACTAACAGTATATTTAACAGCTTTCTTCAAGTTTTTGCACCATATTGTTCAAAATTTGATTTCATACCATAGGATATAGGAACAAATTTAGACCATTCAATCCACCAAGTCTGCTCCAATCAATCGTGGCTGACTATTCTCAAACCCATTCTCCTGCCTTCTCCCCAAAACCCATGATCTTCTTAATAATCAAGAATCTATCTCCATCTTAATTTGGCCTCCACAGTCCAAGGTAATGTATTCCACACAGTCACCAGCCTCTGGCTAGAGACATTCCTCCTTATTTCAGTTCTAAAGGGTTATTGCTTCAGCTGGAGGGCATGGCCCCAGGTCCTAGTCTTTCTTACTAAGGGAAACGTCCATGTCCAGTCTATCCAGGCCCCTCAATATCTTCTAAGTTTCAGTCAGATCTCCTTTCATTCTTCTAAACTCCATTAAGTACAGACCCAGAGTCCTCAACCGCTCCTCACATGGCAAGCTCTTTATCCTTGTGATCATTCCTGCAAGCTGGAACCTCTCCCCTTTGGGGGAAGGCAATGGTCTAGTGGTATTATTGCTGACTATTAATCTAGAGACCTAGATAACATTCTGGGAACCTAAATCCTGCGATGGCAAATGGTGGAATTTGAATTGAATAAAAAAAATCTGGAATTAAGAATCTAATGATGACCATGAATGTATTGTGGATTGTTGGGAAAATCCCATTTGGTTCACTAATGTCCTTTAGGGAAGGAAGCTGCCGCCCTTACCTGGTCTGTTCTATATGTGACTCCAGACCCACAGCAATGGGGTTGACTCGGAACTGCCCTCTGCACAATTAGGGATGGGCAATAAATGCTGCTTAGCCAGCGATGCACTCATCCCGTTAATGAATTTAGAAAAACATCCTTCCCTAGATACAGGCTGAAAACTGCTCAAAATATTCCAAAGGCAGTGTGACCAGAGCCTCAGCAGTATATCTCTGCTCTTGCTTTCTAGCCCTGTTGAAATCATTCGAATGCATTTGCATTCTTAACCACCAACTGAACCTGCATGTTAACCTTAAGAGAATCCTGAACTAGGACTCCCAAGTCCTTTATGTTTCAGATTTCTGAAGCATTTCCCCAATCAGAAAATAGTCTATGCCTCTATTCTTCCGATCAAAAAGTATAACCTGATATTTTTCCCACATGGTATTCCACCTGCCATTTCTTTGCTCGCTCACCTACATCCAAGACCTTCTGCAGCCTCCCCATTTCCTCAACACTACCAACTGCAAACAAAGGCATTTACAGTTCCAGGTTGCTAACAGAATTCATATATAATAAGTATATAAGACTGGTAAAACTTAACAGGTATAGATGCTGAAAAATTGAGGAAAATGTTATTGGATGTGCCAGAATGCAATGACCAGCAAAATAATGATGTTAAACTTGACTGATTCTTGCCATGAAATTCAGGAGATGCCCCTATTTTATCAGCTTTCAGCTATATCTATAGGCACTGCATCAATCTCCAGCTGAAGTTAAAAGGACTTAGGAAGAAGCCCTACACAAGTCAAGAATCAAATCACTGTAGTTCTGATTTTGGTTTTATCATACCTGAAATTCTTAATATGATCATTCACTCCAGTAAGTGAAAGGGCATCTTGAAGGGCAGTGACATAGGACATGGCCTGTGCTGAAGAGCCCCAATTTACCTCTGTTAAAAAGATAGTTGAAGAAGTCAAAAAAAAAGGAGGAAGTTCCTTTTCATGATTTATCATTCCAAAATTTGTCTTTAAACCTGCAGTTAAATACTCTGCATTGCATTTCAAGATAACTAGCTGCAGTACTTTTGTTCCTAGACTAATAATCTAGAGAACTGTTTGTACCAGATTTTTGTAGACTTCTCTCTCCACAGAAGCTACCAGACCGGTTTAGTTTCTCCAGCAGTTTCTCAGATTGTTTCAGATCTCCAGCATCCACAGTTCTTTATTTTGTTTTGAGTTATCTGAATACTGGAGCAGGGAAAGTCCAATTTTCTTACTGTTCACGAGGTTCTGCAAGGCTGCACAACTGTATGAGTTCCTTCTTGTCTAAACCTCCAAGTGATTCTCGGAAAGGCTGAACACGAAGGCATAAAATTTTTATACTGCTTTCATTGCTTTATTGCCACGTTTGCCCAGAGCTCATGCATCTCCCAATGCCATGTTGCTGGCATGATGCTTCTGCCATTTTCAGCCCAGTGCATCCCAGATATTGTGGAAAATTAGAGTCAAGCCATAAAGCCGAAGCAAAATAAATACATTTAGCACATTGGCAAAAGGTACTCTCAACTTATCACTTTGTGCATATTCTAGACATAATAAAAACTCCCACCTGGTTTGTTGTAAATGACATAAATATTAAGGAATAATACAACTGCAACTGTGATTACAGCAGCCCACCAGTTGATAACAAACATGACTGCGCAGCACAATACAGTTCCTAGCAGCGATACCCACATGTTGTAAAATTTAAATGCAGGACGCCACCCTGGTGAAATAAAATTGAATTACATCAATAAAAAGGAAGTCACTCACTAAATCTTAACAAGCAAAATGATGGCAATTTATATGGAACTAAAAAGTTAATAATCCATGAAGAACACTTTCTGAGTGCTAAAACACTACATAGTAATCATTGAAATAAGGATTTGTGCTCTTGTAAATTTCTATTCAATTTGTAAGCCACACTTAAAATACTAACCTGGACTTTTTGAATATGAAGCATGGAAACATGAAAAATTTATAAGTGCATAGGAGGCCAAGAAGAAGTTTGAGATAACTGGAGCAATAGTATTCAGTTCAGCTAAAAACAAAAAGGAAGTTGTTAATGCTTATGTTTTGAATTCATAATTTTTGACAAGTTTCTTACCAAGAGCGTACCATTTATAGAAACAATCCTAAAATCAAATATATTTCTTCAATGTGATCTTTCATTTCATCTCCAAATCTAACCAAGTGACTGAATTTTCTAGACACTGTGGTAGTGTTAGGTATGTACAATTTTCAAAAAAGGTGAACTCTGGTCAAAATGCAAATCAGAAGCAGTTTTTAGATTTTGATATGCATAATTACAGATGGTCACTTCCAGTTGCAGTACACTCCAGTAAGTGAAGTATTTACTATTCAACCTTATACAGCAGGTTTGAACATTCTAAAATTATTTCTGTAATAAGACCTTTCACTCTTCTTTGATTTCATGGACGTATTACTGTGTAAAATGTGCAGCCTAAATTTTTCTGCAATGTGACATACAAACACAAGAACCATCTTTACATTTGAATACAAGAAAGCCATTCATCCAAGCCGGTTCCTTCACATACAGCCTACCTGAGAGGCCACAGATCAATTCTACATCCCAGAAACAGCTGCCAAGTGTGTAGTCAGAGATGTGGTTCTAGGATTGAGCTCGTCAGCCTCACGAGAAACCACAGAACCCATGACCAGTGACATGGAATTTTCTTGGCAAACAATCATAGTCGTTAGTGAGTGATTGTCAGTGATCACCCCATTACTTAGTGTCCCAATGGAAAGCATACATAAATAGCCCAAAAGGTAAATCAAAACTCAATCCCCATTAATTTATCCCCATTTTTGATGATATAATTGTGGCTAAATTCTTGCCAGATATTTCTTTAAACACCAGCTACTGTGTCTTCAAGTAAAAGTTCCTAAGAGTCATTGAACTTGAAATGTTAACTGAGCTTCTCCAGCACTTTGGTTTACCTCAAGCCACCATATCCTGTCAATTAATAACATTCAATTGATATTTCCTCAAACTCTTATCCAATGAGTTATTCAAAATTACATTTTTAACAATTTTTTGTTAAATACTTGCTCTAAAATAATGAGATTAGGGTTTTTGTTCGCTTCAACTTTCTTTTGAAAGATACCGCACATCAGCCTTTATTCAGAACAATTCTTCAATGAATTCAATCTAAAACACAAAATGCCCTCCTTATGAATGTTCCCCAAAACACAGCATTTTTCAAATGCTGTGCACGCTGTTTGATAACTAGCCAGAGACTACAAGCAGTATATTGGTCAAAAATATTTAGAATGACTAGAAATGCGTGTTACGACTGAAATCCTCTTCTAGCACTGAGAGAATGTAACATTGAAAACAGTTCTAAAAATTGCTGGGTGATAACCTTCAATTTTGCCCAGCAAAAAGGGCCAGGTATTGCTTATTGCAAGTTTTTTTAAACAGGTCATTCAAAACAGTTCTGCCATCAAAAGTTCGTAGGAGAAGACGACAGACAAGATAGAAGTTAGACCACAACAGGAATACTGTGTGTAGTTCTGGTCACCACACCAGAGGAAGGATGTGATTGCACTGCAAGGGGAGAAAAGGAGATTCACCAGTACGTTGCCTGAAATGAAGCATTTCAACTATGAAGACAGACTGGATTTTCTTTGGAGCAGAGGGGTTTGGAAGGGGCCTGGTAGAGATGTATACGATTATGAGGTGCATGGACAGGGTGAATAGAAAGCAACTGTTCCCCTTAGTTGAAGGGTCAATAACAAAGGAGCATAATTTTGAAGTGAAAAGCAGATTTAGACAGGATTTGAGGAATAAGTTTCACCTAGAGGACGGTGAGGGTTTGGAATGCACTGCCTGCGAGGGTAGTTGAGACAGGAAAGATCACAACCTTTAAGTATGACACTTGAAGTGTCATACATTCAAGGCTATGGGCCTAATATGAGCAAGTAGGACTACAGCAAATAGTAATATACTTTTAGCAGTACAGACTTGATGGGCTGAAGGGCCTGTTTGATTCTGTGATTTTAGACGTAGAGTTAGGCAAATGATGCTGCCAACTGTGCTGTTAAAGGCAGCTGACCTATGTGGCCCGTGTTAGTGTGGGTCAAGTGAAGCCCTGAGACCCGTGAAGGCTCAGAAGTAGTATGCCAATTAGGTCAGTACAGCCAAGGGAGGGAGTTGAACAGTCCAATCAGTATTTCTTGGGTATTTTGAGCAAGATTAGAGCTCAGGGTAAAATTTATTGCAGTTTTAGCTGGGTGAAGCTAGCATCAAAAAGCTGGAGTTATACTTGTGAATAAATACCGACATGCAGTTTGAGTCCAAAGGAACACAGACCAAGGAAAGAAGGGCAATCAATCAATCAGAACAGGTGTAGTCACTAAGGCAGCTCATGTGCAAGCAGTTCTTGACAAAGTTTCAAGTGCAGATCAGCAAAAGCAAAGAATTGTAATCCTTTAAGTTTAACGAGGTTTAATGAACCACTGTCACTTTAATGTCTGGGGAAATTGCTGAGGAACAGGAGAATCAATCTTGATCACATATGCTTTTTAGTATGTGTGTGGGATATTTAGAGTCTAGTGCCCATATTTATCACTTTAATTCTGAGGGCTTGAAATAAGTTGAACATGCATTTCAGACTGTATTACTGTTCCACAGCTATATATTAAAGAGGCAGTGGCACAGCAGTTGTGACAGCAGACTATATGTCTATGTAGAGGCCAGATACAGATTCAAAGCCCACCATGATGAAACTTCGATTCAATGAACATCTGGAATTAAAAGGTAGCAATTTTATACTCTTAATAAGTCATTTGGATCTCACACTTTGTCCACTTAAAATAAAAAAGTTACTGATCACTGGTCAGATCATAAATTTGGACTGGACTGGGATTGTAGCATAATCAGAGGTCATGCAATTCCAAGTCAGGATGGTGTATGTGGTCTAGAAGGCAACTTGGAGGTGGTGCTCCCATGCAACTGCCTCTCTTGTCCTTCAAACTGATTGATGGTACACATTGTTGCCACTGTGGATCAGTAAGGAAATCAATGGTGAAGTTGGTGGCTGGGGTACCAATCAAGTTGGCTTTCAAAGCCATGAATGCTGCATCCAGGCAGGTGGACAGTATTCTATCGCATTCCTGGCTTGTGCCTTGTAGATGGTGGACAGAAGGCAAATTACTCAGTAGAATTCCTAGTTTTTAAACTTGCTCTTGTAGCCAGCATCTATAAGTATCCAGTTCAGTTTTGGTCAATGGTAACACATAGGATATTAATAGTATGGGATCAGCTGTGGCACTGCCTTTGAACATCAACGAATGATGGTTAGATTCCCTCTTGGAGGAGTCACTGGCAGGCGCATTTAGGTGCAAAAGTTACTAAGTGCTGAGACATTGCGAGGGAAAGGTTGGTTAAGATTTTCATGGTGAATTTTACAATTCATAGAAAACAAAAATGGTTCTGTCACTTGGTACGAGAGGAAAGATTTATCTGAGTGATTTACACTAATTAACCGAGGCTATATTAATAATATTAACAAAAAAAAAGTTGGATTTACAGTTAAAAGCAGAGGCCAAGGAAGCAGATATAGTTGAAGAGCACAGCATCTGGGATTTAAAGAGATTTTAAATTACCGAGATGAAACACAGCTTGAGTTAGCTAGAAGTCAGTTTTAGATGAAACAGCTTGAAATACAAAACAATAAATGAAAAAAAAACTGAACTTGAAAGAGAAAGGCAAAAGATTTAAACTTGAAGTTAGCAAGGGAGAAGAGAGATCAAGAACTCCAAAGACAACGAAATCAAAGCACGAACTGGATGAAGAACAGCTTACATTAGAGGGGGTGAGTCCAGTAGTTCAGATGAGGCGGATGTCTAATTTAACCAAAAATATTCCTTTCGTCCTAAATTTATATAAGGGGTAGAAAGATATTTCTCGTCTGAGAAAGCTGCAAAAGAACTGAAGTGGTCAAAAGATTAAATGGATACTCATATCACAGGTGTCCTAACTTGTAAAACAAAAGGATGATTATTCTAAGAGATAGTAAGAACTGCCATTGCTGGAGTCAGATTAATACAGTGTGGAGCTGGAGGAACACAGCAGGCCAGGCAGCATCAGAGGAGCAGGAAGGTTGACGTTTCAGCTCGGGACCCTTCTTCAGAAGGGTGCAAACCCGAAATGTCAATCTTCCTGCTCCTGTGATGATTATCCTAATCTTTCAGAGAATTAGTCTCAGATTATAAGGCAGTTAAAATGGTGATTCTTAACAGCTAATGAGCTTGTTCTTGAAGCTAAGCAATTAAGCCAAGGAGGCAAATCACAGTCAGACATTTCCAGAATTTTCTATTGAAAATAAAACATTATAGAATTGATGATTTTATTGACTTCAGTTAGAACAGACTTTTCCAAACTTGATGGGAGTCACGATTGTGGAAGAATTCAGGAACAGCATTCTGATAACAATAAAAGTATGATTTGGATGAGTCAGGTATCTAAAGTCAAACAGGCAGCTGTCCTAACAGATGCGTGTTATTTTTCTCAGACAGCCAAACCTTTCCAAGTTGTCAACAGAAGCCAAAAGCATAGCTGGAGGAATAGACAAGACTCTGGCTTTGGAGAAATGGTAGAAGTTGCTCTGGTTGATAAAAATGATGCACAGAGAATAAGAGTTAGGGAACCAAAATGTTTTCATTGCTGCAACACAGGGCATGGAAAAGCAAATGGTTGAAAACAGAACAGTAAACTGGTGGCAGTAATAAGAACCCTTAAGCAGTCTGGAGAAAACACCGTGGTGCTTAATGACATGGATGTTGAACCAGTAGTATACGTGTATGTGAAAGGAATTTTTATAGGGAAAACTGCATTGGAAAGTGAAGTTCAGAAGAAACCTATTATGTCAAATGGTTTTACAGTGGGAATAAATATAATCCATGGCATTCCTAAAAGGGCTTATATTTGAAGGGGAAGTCTAAAAATGAGCCTAAAAACATTGTTATATTTAGACCCTGTTCAGTTCAGAATTAGTTAGCAAAGGATTCAACTTTTCTTCAAAAACTTCTTTGAATCAAAATGTATTAACACAGGGTGTTGATAGGAAGTATGCATTTTCCCCTCCCCTTGAGAAAAAAGGAAATTTAATTTATGCTGTGATGAAAGGGTAGTGTATGGTTGCTATTGTTCCTATATGGCCAACTATAAACAAATTATATTTATTTTGGGAAAAGTAACAGGTACTATGGTTTTTCCACTATATGGGAAGGAGTGCCCCATTTCCAAAATTAGTTCTACAAGTTTAAACCTTTTGCCTATTATGTAATCTAGTAGGAAAGGAGGCAGGAACGGAGTGGGAGGAGCGTTAAATTAAGGAATACATTACTGCTATAACTAGGGAAGACATTTCTGAAAAGTCATCCAGTGAAAATATATGTGTAGAAATTACAAATCAGAAAGGAAAGATCACTTTGATAGGATTGTACGACAGGCCCCCCAATAGTAAGAGAGAAATTGAGAAAAAAATATGTATGGAGATCTCAGATAAAAATGTAAGCATAAGGTTGTAATAATGGGGGAGTTTTAATTTTCCAAACTTGGACTGGGGCTACCATAGTGGTAAAAGATTTGGATGGTGAAGAATGTCAATTGTGTTCAAGAAAATTCTTTATTGATATGTGGATGCTCCTACTAGAGAAGGAGCAGAACTAGACCTTTTGGGCAATAAGGCAAGGCAAGGCAGGGCAGGTGACTGAAGTAAAAGCAGGGGAACACTTTGGGTCTAGCGATCATAATGCTATTAGCTTCAAAATGGTTATGGAAAAAGGATAAGCCTTCCATAAAAGTTAAAGCTTTTAATTGGAGCAAGGCAAATTTTAATGGTATGAGACAAGAACTTTCAAAAGTTGATTGGAGTACCTGCGAACAGTCTACAAGGATGTCTGACAAGTGGGAGGCTTGAGATTGTGATGACAAGCATTCAGCGGCATTATATTCCTGTTAGAGTGAAGAGTAAGGCTGATAAGATTAAAGGAACAATGGATGAATAAAGGTTTAGTCAAGAATGAAAGAGCATTTTATTTTAGATACAGACAATTTGGTTCAATTGAATCTCTTAATCAATATAAGGAGTGTAGGGGCATTCGTAAGAAAGAAATTAGGAAGGCAAAGAAGGGAAATGAAATAGCATAGGAAGATAAGGTTCAAGGATAATCCAAAAAGAGATTCTACAAATACATTAAGAGCAAGAGAGTAATGAGACAGGGTAGGGCTTCTTAAAGATCAAGATGGGTGGTCTTTGTTCTGAAACCCAGGAGACAGGAGGGTTACTAAATGAATACTTCGTGTCAGTGCTTTACTGTGGAGCAAGAAATCAAATCCAGAAAAATAAACTTTGTTTTAAAAAACAGTTCACATTACGGATGAGGATGTTCAGGAGATATAAGAATATAAAGGTGGATAAATCTCCCAGACCTGATCTAACATATCCCAGAATGTTGTAGGATACAAAGGGAAAAAACTGCAAGACCCCTTGCAGAAATATTTGCATCTATAACTACAGGTGAGGTGCCGGATAACTGGAGGGCAGCTAATGTTGTACCCGTGGTTGTAAGGAAAAACCAGGGAACTACAGACCTGTGAGTCTGACTTCAGTTATGGGTAAATTGTTGGAGGTGATTAGAAAAGGTAGGATTTACGGACATTTAGAGGGGCAAAACTTTATTAGGGATAGGTAGCATGGTTTTGTGCAAGGAAAATTGTGTCTCACAAACTTGATTGAGTTTTTTTTGAGCAAGTTACCAAAAAGAGATTGATGATGGCAGAGCAGTAGACATTGCTAATTTGGATTTTAGTAAAGCCTTTGACAAGGTTCCACATGGTTGACGAATTAGTGAAGTTAGATCACATGGAATTCAGGGTGAGCTTGCCAATTCGATACATAAATGGCTTAATGGCAGGAGACAGTGATGGTGCAGGGTTGCTTTTCGGACTGGAGATGTGTCATCAGCAGTGTTCCACACGGATCAGTTCTGGGTCCTCTTTTGTTTGTCATTTGTATAAATGATTTGGATGTGAATACATAAGGCATGGTAAGTAAGTTTGGGGACGATACCAAAATTGGTGGCACAGTAGACAGTGAAGAAGGTTTAAGATTACAGAGGGATCTTGATCAAATGGGTCAATGGGCTGAAAAATGGCAGATAGAGTTCAATCTGGAAAAATGTGAGGTATTGCATTTTGGTACAACAAACAAGGAGAAGGCGTAACAATTAATGGTAGTGTTGTAGAACAGAGGGACCTAGCGGTGCAGGTACATAATTCTTTGAAGTTTGCGTCAGATATAGACAGACAGAGGGTTAGAAAGGAGTTGGGATGTGAGGTTGAGGTTGTACAGGACACTGGTGAGGCCTCTTCTGGAATACTGTGTTCAGTTCTAGTTGCCCAGTTATAGGAAGGAAATTCAGATGGAGGGGGTTCAGAAGAGATTTACCAGGATGTTGCCAGGTGTGGAAGGTTTGAGTTATAAAGAAAGATACAGGCAGGGCAGGACACTCCAGTTAGAGCTCCTTTGCTCGCTAATCCTTTTCCCTCTTCTTTCTTTTTTCCTCCTGTGTAGCTTTTTTCCTTACTCCAAACCCCCCAATCTGGAGACTAGAGGCGAGTGGAGCAAGCACGGGCTGAGCCCCGCGGCAGACCACATGCAGGCCGGGTCCCTTAGCTGGCACATGGAGGTAGCACAGCCTCGTGCTCTGCCACCAGTGGGCAAGGACCGGAAATTAAGTACTTTATTGTCACTTATCATCATTCTGGACTTTCAAAAAAAAACTGTTTCCATGCTAACTTTTTGCTACAAAATTTTGTAACTACACTTAAAAGTATATGTACCGAGCTCCTCTGTATCAAAGGTGGCGTCGAAAGGCAACATTACAAACTTTTAACCGCACTCATTCAAGTTCACATGACAATAAAGGCCACTGTATTCTAAGAAAGGCTAGAGCCTTTTTCCCACTGGAGCATAGGAGGTTAAGAGGCAACCTGATATAAGTTTTTAAAATGATGAGAGATCTAGATTGAATTAATGGTAGTTGTCTTTTCCCTAGGATAGGGGATTTCAAGTCTGGGGAGCACATTCTAAAAGGTGAGAGGAAAGAAATTTTTAAAAAATGACGAGGGGAAAAGTTTTTAAACCGAAGGTGGTTTGAGTGTCAAATGAACTTCCTAAGAAAGTGGTGGATACAGATATAATTGCAACATTTAAAAAACATTTGGACAGAGACATGAATAGGAAAGGTTTGGACTGATATAGGCCAGCAGGAGGCAGGAGGGACTAGTTTAGTTTGGGATTGTTCAGCATGGGCTGATTGGACCAAAGGGTGTATTTCGATGCTGTATGATTCTATAACTAGTTCAAGCAGAAGTACTATGTATCCACACTCAAACAATCACACATCTGGAAATGAGACCCGAAGAAAGTGAACGACATCAAGGTGTTCAGAGACAAGATGCAGCAGAAATAAGCCAATTTTACTGAAGTTCAAAAGCATCTTGCTAAAATTCTGATTTCAAAAAAGGGAGAAGAGAAAACAAATAAGTTGTTGGCATACGAGGAAGTTATTTTGACCTTCGTCTCAAAGTCAGAAAGTGAATATCAAAAGGTGGAATTGCACATATTGCTGATGAAACGAGTTAAATTTCAGCTGCGCACGTACTGAAACCTTGCAGAGTTAAATGAGGGGCTGAAGAAAAAGTTGGTACTAAATTATGGTAGTGATGTGTGTAAATCCTGCTTGTTACATGTAGTTGCTCTTGAGTTAGCTTTTATAACTTTGCTAATACAACATGCAAGTGTGTAAATGAAAAGGTTATCCGAACAATGCTTTGTTTTATTTGATAGATGTTTTATTGTAATTTACTGCATTTCAAAAACCATTGTAAAGAAATCTTCACTATTATGAAACTTTCCATCTTCCAAGGGTGTGATGAAATTAATTTCTAGCATTTAGAGAATGCAACATTCAGAGAACAGACAGTTCTACGAGTTGCATGGCAACAGGCAAAGACCTTTATTGCAAGATTTTCAGTACATTATTCAAAATTGTTCAAAAGTCACTGAAGAATAGTTCTGAAGCTACAGCTAGATACAGAAGGCGATAAAGCAGAACAGAACCATATAAGGCAGTACTGCTTTTAACTGAGCTGCTAAAGGCAGGTGAACTACACAAGCTTTGAGTTATGATGATCAGGAAATCCTGGGAGTGGTGGAGATCTCAGGAAAAACTATGAAGTACTAATAATTCAGCGCAGCTAAAGCCCACAGACAATTTTTGCAACTGAGCAAGATTAGAGCTCAGGAAAAACCTAAGGGCAAGTGTACTTTGGTGAAGCTAACCATCTATGAAGAGTTATGTTTGTGAATGAGCACCAAAGTGAAGCTCTGGATTTCAGGGTGGTTAGACCCAGGAAGAACTTAGGATGATTGACCAAAACTTTAACAGTTATTAAGTGTGTCCGTGATGAAGCAGTTCTTGCAGTGGAATTTCAAAGTCAGAAGAGTGAAATGTGGAGATTGCAACCAGTTGTGAAATTTCATGATACGATGGCACTGTCATGTGTGCATGCATGTGCATGTGATAGACACGAGTAATCTTTCATCAATCTTGATGTTTACTATTCAATCACACTATCATACAATACCACGATTTAACTCTGGATATCACAAATAAGTTTATGTCTATTGTATACTGTGCAATATTAGAACAGTGCTGCAATCAGATGCAGGATTTTTGTTAAAACTGTGGAGCCTTGTGCGTTATTTTCTTTAAAAGTAACCTGGATATCACGCTTTGTCTATGTTATAAAATTCACTTGCCCTTAGCCAGACTGTAACAAATTTGGGAGTCAGATCTAGTAACAATGTCAACTAGTTTCTCCAAACAAAGCAATTTTCAAATATCTGCAACTTACCAATCAGAATGAACGCAACAGCAATAAAGAAGGTTAAAATGTAGCTTCTAATTGGTTCATTGTTCTTTCCATAACCTTTTCCAAAGAAATATAGTCCCTTGTAAATGTTATCCTTGCAAAGAGCCTGTAGGAATAATAAATTCAGTTAAATGCTGGAAATGTCCAGCACATCAACTGATTCCCCTGAAAGAAAAATAGAATTATTCTGTTTCAGAGATAGTAGGAACTGCAGATGCTGGAGAACCTGAGATAACAAGGTGTAGAGCTGGATGAACACAGCAGGCCAAGCAGCATCAGAGGAGCAGGAAGGCTGACGTTACGGGCCTAGACCCTTCT